AATTTCACGATGTTTTAATTTTTAGAAATAATTATTATTATTTAAAATTTTCAATTTTTCTTTTCAAAAGTACTAAATAATATTGTAGATTTTTTGTAGATAATTTGTAATTATGTGATAATTAACTCATCTTACATAGTATAATAAAATGTGATTAAAAATTTTATTGCTAAAAAAAAGAAATAATATACAAGTAACTATAAAATGTATTGTTTTTATAACTCCCATTTCATAGATAGTTTTCAGACGAGAAACTTTATTTAAAATATTTTAAGTTTTATTTCTTTTTATAAGCCACATATTATATTAATTTTTAATAATTGATTCAGATAATATATTTTTAATATGACTTTAAAAAGTTTGTTCTATCTTGTTATTATGCTTGACTACACACGTATTTTATTGTTTGTACTATTAATGGATGATGATTCATGTAACTTGTTACATCTTCTAAATGAAATTCGTAAAAAAAATGTTCAGTCTTTTTTTAGAACTTTATTATTTTTTGTTTAGTATTAGAGTCAATAATGAGTTTTTTTATAATGTTTAATAAACGCTTAGTGTTCTTAAAATATCAGGTTGAAGCCCTATATTCTTCTTCTTTTTCCTCGCTTTTATCCCAACTATTTGGGGTTGGCCACCCTTATCCTAAACTCTCACTTGACACAATCTCCCACATCATCTACGCTCACATCAGCTGTTCTCACATCGCATTCAATTGGTTGAAGCCCTTTATTGAATAAATAAATGGGGCATTCTTCAGTTATGTTGCTCTTTTTTTGGTTCGAGTATCCACACTCACGCCGAGCATTTTGAGTCAGATTCCATTTCAATATTAGGTGACTACATCTACCTTGGTCACACCTAAAGCAGTTCAGGTACTCCATTATTTCCTTGAAAAATTATAATAAATCAGATAATCTCTGTTCTGGTTGAGATACGAGGTTATAATTTAAAGGTTTAATCCATGCTTCCTTCCAGCGATCCACTTTTTAAATTTATAATGTCCTCATAAATTGGCAAACTAGGAGATGTTAAGTATTTTTGCCACTCTCTTCTTATTACCTCTTCTCGTGTCAGGGATAGAGGCGTTATATTAGTTATCACAGGGAGCCATGGTGGGAGTAATTTTTAGCGTTCCTAATATAGTTTTTATTGTGCTATTTAGTTGGACATCGATTTTGGATACATGTTTACTGTCAATCCAAACTGGAATACAATATTTTGCTGTAGCAAAAACCAATACTAATGAGGTAATCCTAATGGAGTTTGAGTCAGCACCCAGCCATACTCTACTAGTTTGGATGATATATTATTCCTTGTGTTTATTTTCTTTTCTAATGTTTTTAAGTGTTGTTTAAATGTGAGGGTATTACCTAATTATTTTAGGTTTTTATTATGAAATATATAATGACAAATATAATTATTTCAAATAGAAATACTACTTACAAGTATTTAAGTAATCGTATTCAAATACAGAATTTGAATACTTTAACAAAATTGATTATATTTAATATATATATGTGAAATGTTTTTAATCATATTGGATGGGCACTCATTCAATTATACACTTTTATTTTATTACTAAAAGTTGTTTATAGATATTTATAGCAATCTTATTTTAGTTTCGATGCGAAGTTGAGAAGGCATTAGTTTTACTATAATGTATTTTTTTTTTTTTTGGTGTCTGTTACCACTTTTTCTCTGCTCTCATCGAACCAATTTCTTTCAACGATACATCAAAAGATTACAAATCGTATCTAGTCGAAGACAATATCCTCAAAAATTTAAAAAATTTCTATCGTTCCCCGTAAATGAAGGATATCTCCAAAAAAATTACAAATTTAAAAATTGCTAATTTTCGACATTTTTTTAATTTTAGCTTCGATGCGAAACTAAAATTTTGGACTTTACTTTGTCTTCACGGTGAAAATGGCTACTAAATGCTTTTTTGTGTGAAAATTCTCGATTTTATATTTTACATTTTTTTATTTAAAATGCTATACCTTTTTAAAAAATTTATGATATATTTTAGGATACTTAGCATAGTTCAACGTTGAGTAATTTTTCATGTTCAAAATAACTGGTAGTTTTTTCATGTATATCATTGAAATACTATATATGGGTTTAAAATAAGAAATAAAAGATGGACTTTTCGGTAAAGGTTTGAAATTTTTTAAATAAATACCAATGTAATCAAGAATTTCAATTTTTATTTTAGCAAACTTCAAAAAACTTAATAAATGAAAAAGTCGCGGTGTTTATATCGAAAAAATCTTTTTATTATTTCCTTAATTCGAGTGAAATTTCACAATAATGAATAAATATATAGGAATATTTCAAATTACGCATAATCATTGTATTTTTATAGTATTTATTCAGATTAAATAAATCATTAACATCTTTACCATTGATCAACTACATTATATTCAACAACCAGAAAATTATATCTCAATAGAAAATAGTTATTGCGCATTTTCTCACTTACTTTTTGCTATTATTAATAATTTTTTATTAGTGATATACGGACATTTTACTTTATCAATACATCTAATATTAAGTATTATAAACGTTAGAATTTTTAACATAGTATAAATAATTTTATTTGAACTTCTTAGGTCTTAAATTATTAAAATCGAATTAGGATTATTTTAGTAATTTTTTTTCAATAATTATATAAAAAAAAAATTTGTTGTAGGTTAACTAAATTATTAGTTAAAAGAAATATTGACAAAATCCAAAATTATTTCGATTCTAGCTTTTTTTTTGAAACTCATATTTCACAAAATAAATATTTTGATACTTAAATAAATGTTTTTATAGATTAATGTAAATTTTTTTGTTATATCACGCATTCAATGTTTGTGTTGATATTTATCTCTTATTTCTATNGTTCAAAATGATTACTTTTAACATATTAAAAATCAATAATAATTTGAAAATAATTAATTATAAAAATTATATAATATATAATTAAAATAATTACTAATCTGGATATAATTAAGGAAATAGGAGTTGATGTTGGGTTGGGTTGGTTACATTTTTAACTTTATAATGCTATAACTCATTGAAAAGTGTACGAATCAACACAATTTTTTTATGAGAAATAATATTTTTTAATAATCCCTTTTTCATTCGACATACTTTATCTTAATCAGGGTATTAATAAGAAACTAGCAGATAATGTAGCTTTTGTAATTATCCACCAATTTCTTAGAATTAAACACTATCTACTGATTTGCATCGAAGCGTTTCTTATGATAGTGATTTTAATCACTGTCAGATTAAATCTATACTGGACCCAACTATGCAACATCCCCACTATGCCGCGACCCCACTGTGCTGGGTTTTTTTTAGTATATTTTAAGTTGAAGAGTACAAGTAGCAATCTAGAATATGACATAATATTTGGGTTGAATTTGCGTATAGTTTTAATAATTGGAAAATAATTTAACTTTATAAACATTCATAAACTATCTGTTGTCCACTAAAAATCAATACTTCAAATTGATATTTTGTGGATATTTATTGTACTTGCCATCAACAAAATTAAATAATTAAAATTATCGTATTAACAATCTTTTGAAAGTATTTTAAATCTTTTTTATTAAAAATAGAATTTTTTAATGCATGTATCTTTAAAATAATTAATCATTTCTTTAAATGGATACAAAAATTCTGTAAATTAAATCAATTAAATTATGTTAATTGTTTATGATCATACATTTTTTTTATTTAAAGTTTATTTAGAGAAAAATAAACTAAGGTTTTAAGTTTCATCTTGTTAGATGTAAATTAATCAAATAAAGAAAGTTTTTAGTAGTAGATAAGTTAATAATGCTTATGAATATTTTGCTGAAAGTTTTTCCTTTCTTCTAACTTTAAAAAGTCTTAAACAAATATTTTTCTTTGTTATAATTTAAAATAGTTGATGAGTGCTTGTCATATTCTCCATTTCTTATTTTATGATATATATTTCACCAAATTTTGAAATATTTTCTTAATAGTCAATTTTATGTTTATAACAACATTCATGAAATGTAGAAATGAGATTTTTCGTTGTCTGAATTAAATTAAGTGATAATTTATCATTTCAATAATAAAAAAACTGAGTTATCATCATTGAATAACAAAAACATAATATTTAACTCCATTCGCTATTTTAATTTTAATATAAAGCGAACGTCAACTTTAACGAAAATTATTTAATTAGCAATGGAAATTTCCGGGTACAGACAAATTAAATCGTTCTGTTAGTACAATTAAGTTTGATTTATAGCTAGAGAAATTTATTGAGACAAGCTTTTGAAATTATAATTAAATATTTAAATGTTCAATACTAAAAATGTATACTTTGTTTTATACATAAATTGTTTCATTTTATCAACTAACTACAATTAATTTATCTGAAACATTTTAAAAATATTATTTTTTTTTTTAAGTTGTTATCTACTCTTTAAATAAACAAAGTTCGGCGACTTGTTTTTCTTTACATAAAATTCTTTGAGAAAAGTATAACTAGAGATAAATCACTCGTTCTAATTTAGGATTGAAAGCTTCATAAATTGCATTCAAGTACTGAATAGTGAGTAATTAATTTGCAGCGGTTGGAATACATAAAAAGAATGGTACGAATAAAATTGCAATACAAAAAGGTTTATAGTCGAGCTTGAAAATGACATTACATAATTGTTTTAATTAAAATTTTATAAAATGCAGTTACAAAACAAAAAATAATTTTCTATTTCAAGATAATATTTAGAATACTCTCTTTAAAACAAATGTTATTTTACAAATATTTTTAAATAGCTTTCATGTAATAGTCTCCAAAGAGAGTAAAAAATCTACATAAATTTATAGATTTTATGACGTTTTTACGATTGGTAAATTAGGTTTCCTATCAATATGATTTCTATAAAAATATTTACAATCTCATAATACAAAAAAATATATGAACGTCAACTTTTTATGAATTAATCAATGTTGTTTTCATGTTTCAGATCACGATCTAACGATGCGTGACGATCAAGGACGCAGTTGACGACATGGATGGTGAAAATAGGATCATATTGAACGTCGGCGGCATCCGGTATGAAACTTATAAAGCTACGCTCAAAAAAATACCGGCCACGAGACTCAGCAGACTTACCGAAGCTCTAGCAAACTACGACCCTGTACTCAACGAGTATTTTTTTGATCGACACCCAGGCGTTTTCGCTCAAGTACTTAATTATTACAGGTAGATTACTCCAACGCAATATATTCAATGTAAATTAGTCTGTTACCACTACATTAACATTACTGTGTTATCTTTTGTCTAGAACGGGTAAACTACATTACCCGACAAACGTTTGTGGTCCATTATTTGAGGACGAATTAGAATTTTGGGGTCTGGACTCAAATCAAGTAGAACCCTGCTGTTGGTCAACTTACAGCATTCACAGGGATACACAGGTAAGGTTATATATCATCGTGTAGTTCATTATAATAACGAGTAGTCACTAAGACCTTTTTAAACGCAATAACAATCCACGTAATAAACATTCTACTAGTCGTTGGAAGCATTTCAAAGCCAAATCATTATTCCTAAGCATCTAAGTTTCTTTTTGTTTAGATTTAAAACGAAAATATTTTGAAAATGCTAAAAAACAATAGCAACTAAAATAGATTTTACAAAAGACAATAATAGTGTGACACGTATTCGTACGTTGCGCTTTTGTATTGAAAGAAAAACAAGGAAAACATGTTTTACGTAAGGCTGTTTGAATGCCTGAGGGAAAATAGATGATAGGTATGCAACAGTAATTTTTTTTTTTCTTCGGTACTGTTCTCCGTTTATTTTACACCAAAGGGGAGCGATGGAATGTACGTACATTATTATATTGAATTCAGAAAACGACTAAAAGTGACTTGACAGTTAAGGGTTTTCGAGAGAGTATCATGTGGTTGATTAATGGTACACTTTACTGAAATATTGCAAATGTGTTTCCGACAAAAGTCAACATCTCTAAGATTTCAAGCAGTTTATTATCCAAGGTTTCAGTATTTGGGATGTATGCATGCTTATACGTCTATTATGCTATCCATTATACTTTGTTAGATAATGTTTTTTCACAAATCAAATCCATTAGTATATTTTTTTTATGAAATTAAAACGAATTTTATTTCTGAATAATGAAAATTGTAATTTTATAATTAATTTTAGGCCACTCTCGCTATACTTGACAAATTAGATATAGATTCTGAGAAACCAAACGAAGAAGAAGTTGCTAGAATGTTTGGGTACGAAGAAGAATATTTTGCCGGTACTCTAACTCCTTGGCAACGGACCAAACCAAAACTTTGGGCACTTTTCAATGAACCTCATTCATCTTTATCAGCTAAAGTAAGTGCTCAGCATAATATTTTATAACATAGTTGTATAATATATGCAGTTCTAAAAATTCTAAAAAAAAAAAAAAATAAATACAATTTAAACAAATAAATACAATTGATTAAATTTTATTAGTGTAGTCAATTGCTTAAAAATTACTAAATAGAATTTTCACTAGTTTTACTTATTAAAGTAAATTATTCAATCTGAGAACTATAATTGAGATTAGGTTGAATAACTCACAAAATTTACTCTAATGTAATTGCTTGAAATTGTGTTAGGGATTTGTGAAAATGCAGACCACGTTTGCGGTTGGCTATAAAATTCTACTTGACTAAACATTTGCTTAATGATAGTAAAATGTTTAGTAAAAAACCAAATAAATACTCAAAAAATTCACGAATATGAGTTATTATATATAAGATGTTATTTTACAACACAGTACAACTGAAAAAACAAAAAATAATAATAATAACCGAATGTTATTCATAACGTGTTTACAAAAATTGATTTCCAATAAAAGAAATAAAAAACTTAACAATTTTGTGTTAACTGTCTTGCATTTTTTTAGATTTATCTTTTAAACGATTTTTGTAGCAGCTAAGCATCTAAAAAAGAAAAGATTTTTCGCGATACTTACAAGAAAAATTATCGACAGGAAATAGTTTATCCCATTTTTCTGTGTAATTAGAGAAAGCCTATTTATACTCTCTCCATTCTGCTATCTAACTAACATGGTAGAATAGCCATAATAACGATGTATTGAATGCCTATTGTTATATGTAACCTGCATTTAATGATAGTGAAAGAAAGACATAGAGTAATAAATTGGTAACGATGTCCGGTGTAAAGTCGATATGGATCCGAAATAGGTTGGGCTGGTGTTATCACTATCTCTTAGCTTAACCGTGTATACAGAATGATTCTTTTGACTTTATTCACTCGTTTTCTCTTTAAATAATATTTATATAAAAAAAATTGTTGATTCATTTTATGTTGCATATTTTTCTCAATTAATCAATAGTTATGTACTTTTTCAGTCCTTATACTTTATTAGGGTACAAACTTTTTTTTTTTTAATGACAAAATATATAATTAACTACCTTATAAAATTGAAAATTATCTAGTTAAAAAAATGACTGGTTGGTGACAACTCTTGATCCACAATTTCGGAAGTTATTACCATTTAAAAATATAGGCTGGAGGTGGGTCGTGCACATGACTATACGATTAGATAGTCATATTTGTCAGTCGCACTTTTCCTCCCGCTAATATACATGAATCTGAACAACACCTGTAGTACTAGTCCAAAAGTTGTTATTGACCCCTAATTTTCTTAATTAGATTATTTTCTATTCTATAAGCTTGTTAAATATTTGTGTTGCCATTAAAAAAATTAAAGGTGGCATGTTTATATAAGGAATAGATTTTAAAAAGTACTTTATAATTGATGAATTGAGAAGTTCATGAAAATTAAAAAATTCAAAAATAGTTTTCTAAGCATAACTATTATTGTCAGAGAAATGGAACAACTATTGTTTAAAGAATCACTCTGTATTCTGAAAAAGGAGCATATTGGCAAATTCGAGTTAGAATATAATATCCTCTATTGTGTATGCATCACAATCACCTTGTATATAGTTATTAATTTTATAACGAACAGAGCCGAATACACAATGTAAAATTTAATAATATTTCGATGATGTTGGTTGAAACTACCTTGTTGAAGGTCAGCAATAGCATAGTGTCATGTGATGGGCTAGGGTCATAGCCCCTCAGAAATTTTACGCCACATATATATAGAAATTGTGATTAAAAATTATATTTGGTTATTTCAAAATTGTCTTAGGTTTTAAGAATACTTTAATTAGGGTTTAGCGCTACCAAATAGTGGAAATTAAAATTTACCCTCTGATGCTACTATGATTCTAGATCAATTATCTGTATTACCTTATCAAATTAAAGTTTAACCATAATGATGAATTTAATTTGATTTAATAATTTTTAAAAAGTTAACTTATTTTTTTATAGGTTATTTGTAAGAAATCTATCATCGTGTAAGGTAATTAAGAGTAATGTGTTTGAAAAATAAGTTTTTTTTTTGCTATGGATTCAAATATCGTTTCATAATTCTCGGTGAATTTTTACTTAGGTATTTAATTTTCATTTGAATACTTAAAATCAAAAGGTCATCAATAATACGAAACTCTAATCATACAATTGCTAAAATGGTTACACCCCGTCCTAGAACAAAATCTTAACCGCCCTACGCAGTATTGATTTAATAATAATCGATTGATTTTTTCCAGTGTGATTTAGTAAGAGAGAGAGGAGAGAAAAGTAAATACTATTTGGATGATTAACCCGAATGATGTAGCCGACACAGGTTAACTGGTAAATGGCGTTGAGCCGTTTACTTTTAAGAAAGAACAAACACTAAAGAATCTATACTTTGTTTTATCTGACAAAGGGGTGGTCACGATGATAGGGTCACTGATTTTCATAAAATTTAAATAGATCTAATCCATATTGAATACAGAATCAGACATATTTGGATCAACCATGCGAACATTTCGTCGGCGTAGGCAACTTCAACGTATATTTGCTGCGGGTCGTTGTCGGCCATTACGGCCCTTGTTGGACTTGGTACCGCGGTACAAGTCAAACTACCACATTCACGTAGTAAGGCGATGGAGGTGGCAAAGCGACGCAGGACCGAGTCAATACGATTCAACAAGTCATAATAAAAATAACAGATTGTCTGTTCGGTAATAAAGTATTGCTCAACCATAAAATTTTATCGTGAGTGATCAAGTATAATGTAAAAAAATATCGTAAGCATATAAATAACATTTTTTGTCGAATTTCGAATATTAAAAAAATTGTCTTTTATTATATTATATTTATTGAACTATTCAATTGAATCTAATTAATGCCTAAATATATTTAATGTATTGCATATACAATGTATAATTTTCAATTATCTTTCGTTTTACACAATATTATAGAATAATTATTTTTCTATCTTTAGTGAAAGATTCATTGAAATAAGAATTTGTATGCATATGTTAATGAAAAATTTAACTTAAATAATTTTTCAAGTTTTAATTGCTAGTGAATGTTTGTTTTTTAATATTTTGAAACATAAATTAACAAGTAATTATTATTTCCAAACAGCTGCGTGTTATCTTTTCATTGTTGCTAAAATTACTACTTTGAATCACTTATTTAGAATTCCATTCAGATATATTAGAATGGCACTTTGCCTCATAAAACACAAAATAACATAATGCACAAGTTTGGTAATCGCCCTTGTGTCCTTCCGGCTAAGTGTTTCTGTACAATTCAAAACTAAATGTTTAAAAGATAAAAACGTTTGGAATGCATTTTGGAAAAATAATTTTGTTCAGTTTTTAGTTGAATTTAAAACAGTTTTTCGCATACTTCGAACTATAATGTTTTTTTTAAATACTTAAAGTATTTTGTAAATTATCATATACTATATTATCTATGTCAATAGTACTGAAAATCGTTATTTATAATTTATATAAGATACTTTTATTATTATTTAATTTAATTTTAAATTTTAAGATAAGTGAAATAGTAACTTGTATGAGGGATGAAATCACGTGTTATGTTTTATTTTAAATGATTGATTTATGTTTTTAAATAAATAAAAAATACATAGTATACACTATATGTAGTAAGTAAATTTATATTTAAAAAATGATGTTGCTCACAATGACAAATGGTAGAAACAAAACTCGTACATGCATATTGATATAAAATAAAATAAATGTAAGTTTTTTTAAATAAAATCAATATACTATATCTGTGTTTTGTAAACAATAACTTGTAAATTAAAAATTTCATGATTTACATTTTACTATGTACACTTTTAAATTCATAACATTTTTTCCTCGACAATTTGTAGCAATTATTAGCATCGATTACCAAGAAAGAACTTTCACATCAGTATTTTATTTGTGTAACATTCATACATATTTATTCATATTTAATTATGTAATGCTAAACAGTTATTCAGTATATATTTTTACGTACTATTGTAAGACGCAGCTTTATCAACTTATTCGTGACATGCTCTCATTAAATGTGAGTGCTACTAAATGCAAATTATTTCGGAATCTGGCTAGATCATTAATTTGTCGTCAGAGAGAGATGGTGAGAATTTTAAAATAAACAATCTTATACTTGGCAAATAAAGCAACTCGCATTTTCACGACAGTCAGACGCCGGTGTACGTTGATGTCTTTATTTTTCTATTATTCCATTTAAAAATATATTTTTATGTAAAATAAATAGTTATTCTATTAATCTAAACTATGAATTATATGAATACTTAAAAATGAGTTTCACAGAATGATTTTTTTATAATTGTATATTCTTAATTCTACATTTTTATTAAAAATGCAATTTTTTAAACAGTAATATAATTATAATAAATTTTTCAATATATGCGAGTACATAAACACACACGAACAATGTTTTGAAACGTATACAGAGTATTCGGTTGGGTTGGGTAAGATCTTTAAAAAAACAACAGTTATTAACAATTTTTTTTTTAATCATTATGGATCTTTGATGAGCTGTTTCACAAGAAAAATTAAATTTCTATCATCATCCCTTACACTTAGAACTTTTATCAATTTCAGATTTTCAAATGGCAACCCCATATTATTTTTATATATTTTTGTTCGTCATAAAAAAAATAAAAAATTATGATTTTTAAACAAGAACGCTACTTTGAAATTTACAATATTGGATGAAAAAATCAGTAGTCTCTCCAACATGGTCACATTATTATTTTATGTAGCGATAAGAGCTACCGGTTTACTATGTCAACGCACGTTATCAGAATAACTAAGATAAGCTTGGTATGTTTATTTATAGAGCTGGTATTTACGACCTATAACGTTCGAGTCGGTTATAATTTTTCCTTAATAAACCCTAAACTTTAGAGAGCCGTGTAGCACTTAATATTTAATAAAATAAAATATTTTTCTTATTAAACTTAATCTAATGGTGTAAAAAAAGTAGGGTTGCCATTTGAAAATATGAAGTTGATACAAGTTTTAAGCATAAGGGATGGTGGAAGAAATTTCAATTTTCTTATGAAACACATCATCAAAGATTCATAATGATTAAAAAAAAAAATTGTTTATAACACTTGTATTTTGAAAGATATTAAGTGAGACATAGTTTGACGATCACCTGTATTATTAGTAAGGTGCCAATCGTGTGCGTGCGGGTATAGTTCATCTGTAATCTTATGTGTGGGTTTTGGACGACTGTCAGCGTCGTCTATACGGTAAAATATTAGTATATTAGGTAATTTATTTTTATAATTAACTGCTTGTCGTTATCGGTTGTTATAATAGTATTATCGCTATTATTATTATTTTCATTTCTATTTTCTACTGCGACCTTTAAAAATAATATGCGTCTTATTTTATTATATTTAATATGACAATTTTTTAACACGCTTATATTAGTTTCATATTATACCAATGACTTGTGCTATTATATTTAAAGCTGAATGTCTACTACCAGCACCCACAAACCATCTCTGAATCATCTAACAATTAATCAGTATTTAATTCTACAGGAAAAGATAATGCTGTTTATAAAATTTAAAATTCAATCCGTTATAATTTATAAAGTATCAATTTAGTTACTTAAATTAATATTTACTCGTAATTTTAATAATACATAAAATTAAATATTATTTTTATTTAAATTTACAAATATAACGTCATTTGTGGCATGAATTATGTATACAATATAATTGCAAAAAAGTTTATATCGAATTCTTGACTTCTGAAACCACAGATGTGATTACCATAGAGTTCAAAACTTTTAGTATGATAATTACTTGATATTGCCAACTTAGTTCGACATTTCAAATGGAAAGACTGGAATTTAGATATATTACCGTCTTAATGTGCGCCAATGCCAGTTTTAATAAATATGAAAACGAATTCATGAGACATGTTGGAGTATGTCTTTATATATCAGAATATTACTATAGTTAAATTATTTGATTGTCTTGATTTTTTTTATGTTTAGCATTAATACAGTTAGGTAATATTTATTGTAATAACCAGTTAAAATAAAATTAAAATAAGGATTTACAATAGGTTATTAGAATTTTTGAATTAATAGATATTATTATCGAATATTTTCTTCGATCTAGATAATTGATCATAAAATTCGGTATAATAACAAATAATATAAGTATTCAACCTAAATTCTCCTTATTAAAAGAATTCTTATTTTTAATATTTCAATTGAGCTGTGGTTACAATTAAAACAATTATTGTGATAAAATAAAAAAAAAAAAAACAGAAACATAAACATAAATAATCACGAATAAAATTATGTAAAGAAATTAAGAAAAATTACTTACATGGATATCAATTGACAATCAATTGGTAGTTAACGCTATTAGACTGTAATGTAATTCTTATGACAGTGAAAAGTTCGAAATTTCAACTTAAATTTAATATATATATAAGTGTCAATATTTCCGGAACATTTTTAAAAGTTAAGTTAAAAAAGTTCTTATTACTATACGTGTGTTTAATGTTTTTAATTCCCTTGTATAAATAGAAAACATCCGATTTAAAAAAAGAAGTATGTCGTATGAAAGATGTGTATATAAAAAGTAAATTTTTTGTGAAAAAATTATCATTTTGAATCCCTCCCGTGGGCAGGTAGAGGGTCAGATATTTAAAAAATATATACTATATGATATAACTAATGTATCTACAAAAAAAAAAAAGTTGTTTTGATCTATACTTTTTTGGAAAAGTTATGGCAGTTTTAAGTAAATAAAAATCCGAAAATTACCCATTTTTAAAATTGTAATTTTTTAGGCGATTATCCCATTTATGGGGAACGAGGGAAATTTTTTTAATTTTTGAAGGTAATGTCTTCAACTATATAAACAATTTGTGATTTTATGACATATCGTTGAAATAAATCGGTTCAGTGAGATCTGAGAAAAAATGATAGCAGACACAAAAAAAAACATCATAGTAAAATTCACAGCTTCGCATCGAAGCTAAAAATAACTACCAATTTGTGCGAACAATGTATGAGTAATAGTCTTAATGCTATATTGTGTTAATTTTATCAAATACGGTATCATATCATAAAGTGTTTATATTCATTTAATCTTTTTTACTCCTTTGAAATCTAATTCATAAAATAAATTTATTATTTTTTTCGTAGTTATCAATGAAAACCCTGTTAGTATCATTAAAGACAAAAGAAACTTGTAACCTGAACCAGAGCAATTAAGTATAGTTACAAGTACTTCTATTTGCGTGTTAAATTAAAACAAAAATTAATTCTTACCTTTTTTTCTTAAGTAATGCGAAACTATATAATGCATTTGAAAAATTAGTTTGTTTTAAAAAATTAATAAAGTTAAAATTTAAATAAATGAAAGATTTAATTATTTGGATATACAACCCGCATTGCAGTCTGAAGAGAATCTGATTATAAATCTTTTTTGTAACATTTGTTATTATTATTATATCATTTTCTGAGTTTGCACGTAACGATATTAGTCCCTGATGAGTTCAAAACTTTTTCAGGTAATGCCTGGGCTCCCAAAAAAAAGTATCTTTGAGTACATAAAAGTTTTCTTGGAATCAAAAATTTTTAATACTTTAAATTCATTTATTTTATAAAGTTTATATACCACTTGGCAATATTTTATAAATTAGAAGACCAAAAATATTTAAATTTATGAAGTCTAGTTGTAATAAATAAATATTAGCAAATTTAAGGGTTTGATTTCAATTAAGCACCCAATGAAAATTAATTTAAATAATAATTATATTATTATTTACATATTTGTAGTCATTGGTTATTTTTTTTAATATAAAATATTTATTTTTCATTATTTAATTGTCATACTAGCTTACATGTATGTATATGATATATTTTTTATCGTACTTATTTCAACAAATTATAATTTTCTGTGAAATTATTTAAAACAAAAGTGAAAATTAACTGTGTAGCGAAGTGTAAAGATAACTTCATTACAGGTTGTTTTGATTCGTTATCGGTTATTGTGGACGGGACAACTATCCTATTAACTCATATAACTTTTGCATTAATTTATCAAACTAATTTAGCTTAAAACCGTTTCTATGCATACTTGTGAAAATTATCCAAATAACGTTATTATCAACGTAAAAGCTATTAATTCGTTTGATAAACTACTTATATTTCAAAGGAATTTTGTCATGAACATTTCCAAATACAAGGTCACAAACATAAATAAATATTTGAAACTAATATCCGCAAGGGATTGAAAAGAAATTACTTTTTATACTTAGTATGTATGCATTTTATTTAAAATTCAAAAACTTTATAAAAGTTCTCAAACTGTAATAACTGAAAGAAATTTGTCCTCAAATCTAGTAAGGCATAATTGAAATACGTTTTTATATTTAACATAAGACATATTACATCAGTTTTATGATTTATACATTATATTTCACATTTTACATTTTATTATATCCTAATAAAGTTGATTGGTTCATTGAATAAAGTACAGATAAAAAGTCCATTAAACTATTAATTAATTTCTGGTTGGGTTTAAAAGTAACCTATAAATACATTATATCACTAAGAGCTCAAAAGTTTTATTTATGTATGCAGAAAATTTAAGCTAAAAGCAAAATCATCTCTATGGTTCATATCCAAAAGCTAATATGTAGCAAAAAAGGGTTTTTGAAATGTTTATAGTTCGTATAACGTTATCTGTCATATGCCAAAAAATGACGATTTAATAATATTGGGAAGGTTTGTTTTAAAAGTATCGATTTTTATGATACACCATTTTCAATTTGTATTTGTTATTCTTAAAAATAGCTAAAAATGGTATATCAACTTCTGGAAAATAACAATAGACTTTTAAAAAAAACATTAAAAAATGCAAATAAAAATGAACTCATCGTAGAATTACAATTAGTTCGCTAAAATTAAAATGTTTTACTAAATTAATATTTTCATTTCTGTTTTTAGATAGTAGCAGTGATATCAGTATTTTTTATATGTGTTTCCGTATTATCATTTGCTTTGAAAACTCATCCTGATCTTCGGGTAGCAACGCTTAGAAACGTAACTGTACCGAAAGATCGACCACCTGCTCCAGGCAAAAACCCTCCGTTGGAATGGATTCTGAGTAAAGACCGAACTGATCCACATGAAGCTTTTTTTTACGTGGAGCTTGTCTGTAATGTTTGGTTCACATTCGAACTTTTAGCTAGATCTATTGTAAGCGTAATTTATGTGTTAGTTTGAGAGACATTGTATAAAAAAACTTTTTCTTTTTATTCTATTTAAATAGGCCATTTCTATTTTTCTTTAGTAAGTTTGACACAAAAGTATACTCTTTCAAAACTTATGGTTCCCATTGATACAAAAAAAAAAAAAAGGAAAGCAATATAATAAAGAGTATATCTTGTAAAGTTGTAAACATTTTAATAAAATAAAGAAGTTATTTCAGCGGTAAACCCGCTCCATAATTCACAGATTTCTTATGCACATACTCTAAAAAGTATTGCGATAACAGATTATTATAAATGTCATTGCTGTCATATATTTTATACTGTCAGAATAACTTTTAAAGTATCGTTATACTATATTTTACAGTTACTAATCAGATCAAAGTTGTTGCTGTCAAATGATACATTTGAAAATTCCTTTTTGTTAATATTTTTATATAAATATTTTTGAAATTTAGTACAACATGAAATGTTATAGAATTATTTTTTTCGGTTATAAAACTAGTTTATATCTTGAGTCGCTAATAATAGCTAATCTAATAGATTAGATATTCATTCCTTTTAGAAAAAAGTGGATTTTGCCATTTATTAATAAAAATACATTTTAAGACTTCAAAAGACCGGCTGGGGTACAAAGTTACCTCGGCAGTTTTTTCATGATGTTTCAAAGTTGGACGTGCTTAGATTCACATATTGAATAAAAGTAATGTAATTTAAACAACTAAAACGCTGCTCTTATGAAGGTTAATATTAATATTTTACAAATTTATTAATATTATTTTATCATCAGAAAATAATATTTTTTTAAATAAAATTATTCATTATTCAAAAACGATATGTCCATGCAATTATTTCAAATTTTCAAAGCTGTAAATTTAAAATGATTTTTAGATTATTATTTTTTTTTTTTTAGGTAACTCCGAATTTTGTAAACTTTGTCAAATCTCCTGTAAACATTATTGATTTTGTAGCAACTTTAAGTTTCTACACAGACACAATGCTCCAAAATACATTAGCCCAGCGTTTTGATAATACTGAAATCCTAGAATTTTTTTCTATTATCCGAATATTAAGGCTGTTTAAACTTACAAGGCATTCTCCTGGGCTAAAGATACTCATACACACATTCAAAGCCTCCGCTAAGGAACTTACTTTGCTTGTATTTTTTTTGGTTCTGGGCATTGTTGTGTTTGCAAGCCTAGTGTATTACGCTGAACGGTTACAGGTACATAATTTATTAAGAAAACTTAAAAATTTAATTGTGTCTTTAAAAAAAAAAAAAAAACTATTAATTTTTAAATGACAGGCGAATCCACAAAATGACTTCAAAAGCATTCCTGAAGGCTTATGGTGGGCCATTGTAACAATGACTACAGTAGGATATGGTGATATGGCACCCAAAACATATATGGGAATGTTTGTGGGAGCTTTATGTGCCTTAGCTGGAGTACTTACCATTGCATTACCTGTTCCTGTTATTGTATCAAACTTTTCAATGTTTTACTCACATACTCAGGTATTTTATAATTTTTAATTATTTTATAATAAAATATTATATTTAATTTTATAATTTATTTGTATATATTATTCTCGATAAAACTTAATTACGATTATATTACTTAAAATTGTTAACTTTTAGTTTTTTATTTTTTTTAGTTAAGATCCAAATCTAAACTAAACCTATAGACATTAATTAAATTAAAATAAACACATACATCTTAACACACATTTTTATTATTTATATGTGTAAAACACATTAGGCACTTGTTATAATTTAACAGATTATAAATGACAGATGGTTGTACCATGTTGGCATCACGCTTATTAAATAAGATTAAGATTTTAAGTAAGAATTGACTTTATTATAATATTAAGTAACGCAACTAAAACTTATTTATTCTATGCCGCAACATTCCACTTTATTTTATTTTCAGTATTTCATAAAATTGAAATTGTTTTTTAATTAATTGAAAGTTGTTTTTATATGTTTAAAATTATACACGAAAAGTAGCGATCTATTCCTCTTGAAGTTTCTTATTTAGGAAATAAATAAGTAAAAAAATGTTCAACCAAAAACGTATTTTGAAATTTGTATCATATTATACTGTAGGCCCGTTCAAAACTTCCCAAAAAAAGAAGAAGGGTCTTACCTGTCGAACAACCTCGTCCAAAACGATGTGATGCTGTTTGTGCGGGTGTTATGGGTGCTGCTGGATTAATACCGGGAAATAGAAGAATGGCTGCTGTAACTACTCCCGGTGCCATATTGAAAGATCCATTACCATTTGCTACGCCTAAGTTAGGTAAATCAATATAAACTATTGACAAGTTCTTTTAGAAGAAATTTTATTAATATAGAATACAAAATTGAAATCAAATATATATAATAAAAAATTCATAATTTTGTAAGCTTACAACTAAAATATAATTTAATTTTCGAGATAGTATTTTTTGAAATCTTTAGACATATATTCTGAAATATATAAAAATGTTTTTAAACTCCAGATTAAGTAATAATTAAATATTTAAGTAAATTTATTTGGATAACTTGCATAAAGACAATGGGTTTTGAGTTTAAAAGGAGTATTTTTCAACTCAGTTAAGAAAGGAAAAAATACTGACTTTGCAAATTTGATGAATTTTATCTAAGTTTAAGCAAAATTAAAATTACATATTTGTTTCGCGTAACTACGAAAGTATATAATATATATTTTCCGTATATATTACATCATTCAAACTATTATTTTAAAAGTTTTGAATTAATTTATTATATATGGCTGGGATAAATTTCTAAAAAAATTGCTTAATGATTAAATAGCTATAATCGCATTTATTTTATTTATTTAATGTATTTTAAAATGTTCAAAACATCCGCAATAATAGTTCGATATTTGTTATCTATCAGTCATTTTCTAGTGTAAATGTCATATGAATTTATATATTATCATTAAAAAAAATAAAGTTGATTAATTATTATTGGGTAAGAGGAGAGGATAGACCTAAATATTTTTTTGATAATTATATAGCAAAAGAATATATTAGACTTAGGTAGAAAAAAATTTATATTTTAAAAAATTGTAGTTACAGAATCATTCTATATATATTGTAACCGATGAAACATTAAACTATTATAATAATATCATTCGCAATATAAAACTTTAACCGCAATTATGGCTGAATTTTGAGTAGAATATGTGGCTTTTGTCTCTGCAATCTTTGCCAAAACTATGTTTAACCATTTGGCAGACCTTTGCGAATAGAAAGGTTTTTAAACCAGCCATCAACCTACAGAAATGTAATTAAAACTAAACGAGTCAAATAGATTGAATTTCATAAACGAAAAATCCATTATGTTTCAGAACAAAAAAAAAAAAACACAATATNAAGATATTTTTTTTTTCAAAAAAAAAAAAAAAAAAACACAATATTCCAAACCAAATAGCATAAGTTACTGCGGGTTTTAACAAAAAAAAAAACAATAAAAATAATTTAAACTATTTATATCATTTATACCATTTAAATAAGGTACTCATTAAAAAGCATGAAAAATATGATTATTAATTGATTGATATTTAATTAATGAAACAATAAATGAAAAATCTGTGTATGGTATTTATAGATTTAGAGAAAGCGTATGATAGAGTCCCGAGAGAGGTTTTAAAGTGGTCATTAATGAGAAAAGGAGTCCCGAAAAAGTACATTAATATAATAGAATATATGTATGATGACACTTGTACCCGGGTAAAAAGCGTAGGAAGAATAACAGAAGGTTTTTGGGTAAGAGTAGGAGTGCACCAAGGTTTTGCATTAGGCCCTTACTTATTCTTTATAGTAATTAATTTCTATTAATTTTTAATTTTAATTAAAAAGATTAATTTCCTCCCTATTTTCTCCTATTAACGCTATATCGTCAGCAAACAACATGCACCACGGCACCTCTCCTTATATTTCTCTAGTAATTTCATCTATCACTATAGAGAATAAGTAAGGGCTTAAAGCAGAATCTTGGTGCCCTCCTACTCTTACCCGAAAACCTTCTGATACTTCTTCTACGCTTTTTACCTGGTACAAGTGCCATCATACATATCTTTTATTATGTTAATGTACGTTTTCGGGACTCCTTTTCTCATTAATGCCCACTTTAAAACCTCTCTCGGTACTCTGTCATACGCTTTCTCCAAATCTATAAATACTATACACAGATTTTTCTTCTTTTCCATAAACTTTTCTACTAGTTGCCTCCCACAAAATACTGACTCCATTGTTGACTTACCAGGCATAAATCCAAACTGGTTTTTAGATACCGATGTCTTATTTTTTATTCTCTTATCTATTACCTTTCCCAAATTTTCATACTATGACTCATAAGCTTTATGCCTCTATAATTTCCACACTCCTGTACGTGATCTTTACCTTTAAATATCACCATGGTACTTCATCCATCACTAAAAATATAATTGGTGTATAAATATTGTTATTAATGTATTGTTAAATATTTGTAATTGCGCGTCTCGGGGCAATTGTCTAGTCTACTCTTCTGAAACCTTTAGATAATATATGTGATGTCATTATTAAGTAAATATATAAAATTAGGTCTTAAATAATTAATAAGTTAAGTAATATTAGAACATATAATCATTACGTGAAAATTAATCTATTATTAAATCATTTCTATGTCAGTATTTATATGTTAACTGAAGAAATGTTTATTAAAACTTTTAATTTATCATTACGCGTACGTTAATTTTTTATATCTTGGGAATCTCTTTCTTACTATTTTTAATTTGATATTAATGGTTAAAATATATTAATTTTCCTATCTTTCACGTTGTATATGCAATAGAAACAACCTAATCAGTAACAGTTGTTTATTGCTGTTTTCATGAACATTCTAGATAATTAGAATATTGAATAAACGCTTTTTATTATTTATGTAAATAATTCTAGGCTTTATTGAGATATAAAGGTAGATGCTATTGACCAAATGACGGCATTACTTGTATCTCTCTTAAAACCTTACACTAAATTTTAATATTTCGATGAAAACTACTATCAAATAATTCCAACATTAAAAGCCTTTAAAATATGTCTGTGATTTTTATCATAAAACATTTGAAAATATTATAAATTATATTATACGTTTTATTTGCTAAAAATGTCATCCCTTATGTCTTAATATGGATATTTTATTTCCTCTAAAGGTATATTATATTTTTATATTAAACCTCTATAAAATGTTTTATTCTCGGAAAAGGATTGAATTGTCCATTATCCCCATACTTGCGTTTATAAGGTTTAATTTAAAACTCAAAACGTCCTTTAACTGTTTAAAATTTAAAAAATGCAAATGCATTTCATTAATTTTATTTAATTAAGTATGGAAATTTTATAATAATTTAAGTGTACGTGGTTTAAGTTAAATTCAAAATAACATTTTGTTTGATCAAAAAGTATTGTTATATTTGTTTCAACATAATGCATTCATTAATTGTGATTACAAAAGTATTTTTCTTGCAAATTCATAGGTATAAAAGAGAACTTAGAAGAATTTTTCAAAACTATGGTACCTTAGATCTAATTGTACATACATTTGTGATATTTTATGTCTCTAATATCAAAATTGATCCTGTAATTTTTAATAATTTGACACAAAAAAAAAAACATGAGTAAAACTAAAATCTCTCTAGTTATGTCTCAAAGCTAAAAAACCAAAGTTAAAATATTCTTATAATAAACGAAAAATATAAAGCAATATATCTTATTTGTAGGTAATTTGAACGGGATGAATGTATTGAGTATGGCATTTCAAGCGCCTAAAATACCTGGCATTTCTTCTCAGTCCTTTTTACCATATAATTCTCCAAAAATATCAGGCAAGTTATAATTAATTACAAATAATTTCAGTGGGTCATTATTAGTGAGACATAACATATAATTTATAAATTATAAAAGCAAATAAATTAAAGTAAAAAAATATTAAAACTAAAAAATATTTTGTGTATAATCATAAATTATTCTTCATAATTTAATGTTTTTCATTAGGTTTAATATATATATATATACAGTATTATAAACAAACTTACTAATCTTTTCTTAACTCATGATACTTAATGGATTTCTTTTTCAACAGAAAATAGTTTTATTGATCTTAAAAATATATTTAATTACATAAATAGAAATTCTATAGTCTAATTTTTTATATTATATCTTTAAAGTTTTAATTAAAAATGAATAATTGTATCGAAAATTTTCCTATGAAAGATTATAAATACTCTATAAAATTATTTATACTAAAGTTATTTGAATTTCATAATATTAATAGAACGTAATATTTAATATTATGTTTACCAAATGTAAAATATTACAAAACTTTATTAAAGTCTCGTTAAAAATATAAAAAGTTATATCAATTGAATCTCTTTTTAACGAAGTCAATGTATTGTAAGTTATTTTTAAATTTTCAGGTCTTCAAGATACATATTCAGGAAGCGTATTGAATGGTCGTGGTGGAACAGTAGCTCCTGCGCCACTTCAACCACGAGCTGCAACAATTGAATCTGTTTTTTTACCACTACAGGTGAATGGAAGCAAATGTTTTCTTTTGTACATTTTTATGCTATAAAAATATGTTATTCTTAATTGATGAACTTCATACCCAATTGAACATAATTATTCACTCGTACAGAAAATGTCCATCAATGAAACGTATTATTTATAACTTAGTATGAAATAATTTCTAATTTATATTTTAGCCAAGTCTTCTGGCATCCTTTGGTGAAGATCCCAGGCCTCAAGACATAGCAATGCAGAGAACATCATCATTACCAGCATCATCAGGAATTGACTCTGTTAACCCTTCATCTTCGTGAACATTTTGCTCATAAATGTGTTTTATACAGGGTTCTCTGAATATTATGGGACATCATTTTGAGAATGGACTAGTAAAAATATTAATTCAATGCTACTTATTATGTATTAGGTTGTATTTTTCCTTGTAAAATTACTTATATTCTAAACACCATAATATTTTTTCTCCGAGTTTATTGAATGATTATAATTACACTAATAATTTTATTAATAAAAAAAATGATTTATTTTTTTTTGTTTTAAATATATATTCTAGTAAATTACAGATTTAATAAAATAACCAGGGCAGTATAATAAAAAATAAATTTTAATTTAATAAAATTTATCTGTCAATAAATTAAATGTATAAATAAAATAATTCTACACACAATATCATTTGCCAAAAATAAAAATCAACGAGTTTAAAAGTTAATTGATTTTCAAAATTAAGCTAATATTTTTAAAAGTATCATCATCTTAAAACAACAAATATTTCATAATAACAATACTGAAATTTTCTAAAAAAAATTTGGAATTTCGCTGCACATATGTACTTTAGAATGTCAACATATTAATAGTGAAATAAATTATTGAATTTGTTAAAAGATTAAACATTTTGATACAATTCTGAGAATAAATTACATTTTTTTAATAAATTAAATTTATTTATTTAATTTTTGTAAATAAAGAACCAAATGTTTTCAATAAATTGTCTAGATAATGTGTTAAACTACTACCACTTCATTGTTATAATCCTTATTACAAGTTACTACAAATTTTTCGTACTATGTTTTAAAACATAAGATTAATTGTATTTATGTTAAGTTGAGTTTTCAATAATTTATTAGATTAATAATTGGATAATGTTAATATACTTATTTTCGATTGTACATAATAGTTTATACTCTGTGATATTTTATTTGTTTATTTACTTAATAACAATAAATAGTAAACTTTAAATTACACGATTTATAATTAATTATCATATATATTATTAGTATCCTTATGCATAAAAATATTTATTAAATATACCTTGAATTAAAAAAGAAAAATGATCAAACAAATGTATGTATGTAATAATATCTAAATAATAATTTACAAAGAAATTACAGGTATGAATACATAAAAAACACTATAAAATAAAAATCTACCAGAAATTTTGATTTAAGTATAACATAATATGAACTAAATACTACTATCGATATAAATGTTAAACTGGCTTATGATACATGCAACTTAAAATGTGACAGTAAAATAGATCTGTTATAAATCTTCCAAATTCAAAATGATATTAAAAATAAATATGTTAGTTATTTTTTTAATTTTAATAAAATTCCATCATCAGTTTCTGGGATCCAGTATATTATATAATCACAAAACAATTGATATCTAGTTCCTGAAACATACTTAGTATAACAATAAAATCCTCGTATTCCATGATAAAAAACATTTATATCTTTATTATAACATTTAGCCGGTATAGACAATTTTGTTTCAAATTGAAAACTGAAATTTTTTAATTCTGGAACATAAAAATCATTTTCATAATTTCCTTTGATTCCATTTTTGAGAGCTTTAAAAAATTCTTCGCTTGATAAGTCAGGATATATTTCATTTATATGCATCTTATACTTATTTTTATATTCAATAATATTGCCAAAAGTATGATAATTTTCATGGTAATAGTTACTGTCTTTTTGTTTATAAGTAAAAATATCTGTTTGGTTAGCATATCCAGTTAAAATAAATTCCGAATATGGATGTGAGATTACATTATTTGAATTTTTAAAAATAAAAATTTCATTATTGAAGATCTTTTTTAATCTAACTGCAGGATCTATAAATTCAGTCGAACAATACATAATATTCAAAATTAAAAATATACTTATTTTCCTTGTGAATGAAAAATAATTGAAAGAGTTCATATTTGTAATTTGATGTATTTTATTTTATGCTTGAAAATCACGATGCATCTGAAACGTAAAATAAAACTCTATTAATAAAATATTGTATTATAGTATTCAAATAATTTAGTATTAAAAAATGCGTTATCAGCAGGTTTTGATATAGAGTTTAGTAATTTGGGTCTAAAATAATGAATCATATCATCATCCCCTTAGCTTCTATTCCAACTATATTTGAATAACTCTACTTTACGATTTGACAGGTTTTAACACCAGGTGTTAACCTGCAACCTTAGTTATGGCTGAGGAGCAAGATGCATGTCACTGTCAAAGTTCCCGTATGGTCACCCATCTGGGAACCAACACCAAACAACGCAGCTGAACATTAACGCTAAGGCGGTGACCGATTGATCTACTACGCCACATATGTATACACAAAATAACGAATTATGTATAATTGTATATTTACTTTAAGAATAATATCAATGAGTCATTAATGAATAATATTTATTAAACGATCAATTAGTAATCCTTCTCATCGTGACTTTTATTTAGAAAAGTAATTTCAAAAATGTGTTTTTTATTTTATTAGTTCAAATATGACAAAAACATTCTTCTTAATTTATTTGTAATGTCATAATATTTTGTAAATTTTTGTATTTATTAATCGTTAGTCGGTCAGTCGTGTATATTTTATTTGTTATTGATATTTTGCATTATCGTTTTGTATACCTATTTGTATTAATAGTATTGTCATATGATTTCTATTACACAAATAATTGGCGACTTTGTATTTATTTACCTCATTCTACTCACTCTAAAACTCTTGTATTGCTGAAAAAACGACACTAATGCACTTGAAAAGCATCATTATGTCTTATGTGGTAAAATAATTATTAAAATTTCTTTGTTTTTTTTTAAGGTTACGGTAATCATATAAGAAATCTTATATCGAGAAATTAAAAAAATAAGTTTTAATATAATTAAATTTGTAAAATTATAAACTTCTGTTATATATACAGTTTTAAACATATTGGTCATATATTAAAAGCATAAAATTAAACTGCATTCAAAAACACTATATTTAGTAATAACACATGCAATAGACAATAATCATTGAAGTTATTGAGAATACTTATCAATGTTATTTTTTAAATATTCATAAAATCATCATGATATCTAAATATTTTAGAATAAATAATTAAAATATACTACAGATATTTCACCTAAACCGATAAAATATCCATTATACTAATTTATAAAAAATATCACGTTTATTATCTACCAAGACCTTATATCGACCAATAGAATGTCTAAAAATATGATCATAAATGTATTTTATCCATTAAAGGTAATGTCAAGTAAAAAATAGAGCTGGTAACATAATGTCAATTTTCTGTGATATACATTGTCGAATTTTTACAATAATACTAATCAACAACATACTTATTGAAAGTATCATGGTTATCAAATGGAATGTGTTTTGAAAACATTTATTATTACTTATACACAGTATTTATACAAAAATTTTATGTAGAAATTGCTTATACGTAGTATTTCCTGTTTGTGTAATGTGTTTTTTCATATATAATCGAAGTAATAGTAATTATTATCAATTACTTGTGGGATATAAAAGTTTGGGGTAGAAAGTGTGCTACTCCTCCACGGTTTTCTCTAAATATTTGGAACTTATTTAAACAACTTTCGTACAAAAGACACGGAGGAGTGGTTTCAAGTTTTTAATATCTTTTGAATACCTATTGTCCATCCATTTTTATGAAAATTTCTTGATTACGTGAAAAAAAAAGTATATAATGTTTTTGTTCTTATAAATCAACTTTTGCATTGCTACCATAATATTACATATCCAGCTAATAAATCTTACACTTTAAAGTAATTATACGAAACTGTCAGGATTATAAGGACTGGAATAATATTTCAACATACCTTAAAAAGTAATTAACTATCGCCTAAAATTAAATTTCACGGAAGAAGTATTATCTTCATTTGAAGACGAGGATGAAGAATAGGGCATTCTTTAATTCAACGTATCCGTAAAAGACTACTGTAAGTGTTGTACTACTGTAAATTGCTAATTTATTGTTTTTTTCAAACACTTTCTACTATTTCGTTTTTAAATTAAAACTTCAACTTAAAATAAAATTTACAAACATTTTTGGACAAAAAAACTAGGACATAAAAAAAGAAAACATAAAATAATGGCTCAAAAACAATGATCTAAAAAACAAACGTGGACATATTGTTACAAACATATTTTGGTCATAAGAATGGAAATATAAACAGGACACCGTATATTACAAACTATGAACTATTTACAAATATCGTTGAATTCATTATAAATTGTAAATTGTGAAAAATGAACCAATGACCTGTAGTGCTGCAGTTTTTATTATAATATATATATATATATTGTGAAAAGAACTTTCTCAATGTGATAGGTTATATAATTATAAGATATGACTTACAAAACTCATCCGTATGAAATGAATTGTTCTGATAAATTGTGTAATTATACTAGTAAGCAAAATGATTCTTGTAGTGTTATTAATTAAACAACGAATTGAAGAAATACAGTTTTTAATTTATTCAAGTACATTTTCAAAATTAATTTAATTAAACGAAATTGTACCAGAAATTAATATGAAAATTTCTAAAATTTATTTTAACAACAAGAAACACAAAATGATTTTACAAACGACAGTTAACTTCTGAATTTGTTACATGAATGCGACAAATCGACATTACTTTAATGTAAATGTTTGTATAATGTACTAGAATATCATTTAGGTCAATAATGACGAAAACATCAGATCTAGTAAAACTAGTTAATTTAATAAAATTATTTATTTTATTAATGCATATTTTGACAATTAGTATAATTGGTGAAAGTAATTTATGAGACAATTGACTTAATTAGTTGGTGTTTTCAACTTAGATGTTTTGATATTAGTTACATTTTAAATGATACCATAAGTTTTTTCTTAGTAGTTAATAAAAAAGAGTTTTTAGTCAAATGGGTTACAAAAATTTTTAAAATCCAAGTGAAAGTATTTGTAAAATATTCTATATTGTTTGATTATTATATCCCTAACAATATATTAAGGATATAANAAAATCCAAGTGAAAGTATTTGTAAAATATTCTATATTGTTTGATTATTATATCCCTAACAATATATTAAGGATATCAAAAAAAAAAAAAACTAACGAAGATATTTATATTAAATATCCGTTTTTTATTTATTGAAAAACTTTATAGGAAAATATTTGACTTTCATCAAATAGCGACTCTGGTATAACTAATTAATAAATTATAATCTACTTAATTTATTCGAAATTTTCAGAATTAAAATTTTATTAAATCGTAAAATATAAAAATATTTTTAATGTGTAATAGGCAATAGACTAGATAATTAATATACAGTATAATTATTTTTACAAGAATACATTTTGAACTACAGTGTAGTATTTTTAATATTTTCTCTATATCATTCACTAATTTAAACTCTGTATTTTTCGGGAAGATTTACTTTTATTATTGAACGGAGGGAAAAACTTTTCATATTTCTTCATAAAGAAACAATATGCGATATTTTGAAGCATCGATGTTAAAACTCACATGTATACAGAGTGAACAATTAAGGGTAAGACACACATTTCTCAGAAACTATTGAGTATTTTAATTTTTGTAAAGAAAAATATTAATAGATTCAAATAACTCTAAAATAATATGTGATTATTTTTTTTCTTCCTTTCAGAGTTAAAAGACCGAAATTTTAATCTTCTTTAATTTGAATCCTTATTTTTAATTTGACGATATGGAAGAAAAAAAATTCAAACAATTTAAATCTCATATTTTTTTTATTAGATCGACTTTTTGTATTTTAATATTTTATATTGTCTAAAGGTTTGATTTAGAAAACAATTTCATCATTAATTTGATTGAAATAGTACCGGAGGTAACAATAATCTGTTTCAAAGGGCTACAAATTATCATCGGTATTTATTCTTGCTATCGCTAGTAACAAATAATAAGAATTGTCAATAAAAAATGTTTTTGTGGCACCATGGGAAATGACCACTACTATATACTAAATAACAAATTTGCAATAGAAAATTCAAGTGTTCAAGGGGAGCAATCGCTATATCCCTTTTAAATACGTCCTTAGTATACATAATAATTATTAATATTCTAATTATAATAATTGTATTTATATTATAGAAAAATTACAAAAAAGTTCGGCAGGTATTATACCTGGACTATGTAAACAATTTATTTCGATAAAAATATTGGTTATTGTGATTTGACGTTGGACAGTTGTCATTGATGGAACCCAATTTTTACGATAAACTCATAGACTTATACATCATATATGAGATAAATAAAATTATTAATACTATACTATTCTAATAATGAATGTACAAACTATACTTATAACCGTCCTGAAATTTATGTATAACTTATTTATCTATAACATAAAACATTTCTTAATAAAATATACAAAATAAAGTCTATGCGCAAATACAAATTAGAATCCTAATATAAACTCTACATATGAAAATTTTAATGAAATGATTTTTTGTAAAAAATAATAAAGATATTTTGATAAAATTAATTTGACGCAATTTTTATCAAGTGTAGTGTTTTAATTTGATTAATAGTTTTTTGATAATTAATAAAAAGTAGTAAAGTATAACTAATATTTTTATTAGAGAAATAAGTATTTAAAAGAATAGTCAGCACATTTAAAGACTACACTTCCCATGATTTTTTCTTAATATTGTCTCTGATTATGAAATTCAAAATATGAAATTCAAAATATGAAATTTCATTAAAGAAAATTAAAGTTTAGGTTTTTTAACCTTGATGGGATGAAAAAAATTATTTAATTACATAATATTGTAGTTTTTTGAATAAAAATTTTTTTCTTTTAAAAAAATAGTATATGTAATAGTTTTTAAAATATTGAGTTCTTTATCCTTAATTGATGATTTTGTATATTCTCAAATGTGAGTTCTACAATATTGAGGTAATACTTAATTTCTCTG